GGCCTTCTTCGATATCAAGGGTGAAAATAGTCCTTCAGTTAGGACCTGTAGAGAATCAGAACTAAAAATTCTCAGACAAAAGGGCCGCTTCAAGTACAACACACACCATTTGCACCCCTTTAAATTCGGTAGATGAGCCCAATGAGACGTCTGTCCGTAGACGATGTTTGCAGCAATGACTTTCCTACATAACTATTATCTACTGTCCGCATTCTCAAGGCAGACCCTTATCTACGACTGCACCATTTTGGGGTTCGCGGAGCTATCAGAGTATAGCAATGTGTTCTTGATTCCTCGATCGTCTTGAAAAGCGTGAACAATTCCTCTATGGCATTTTGTTCCTTTGCAAAGCCCATATTCACCTTCCCTGTTATATCAACTCCACAAAATTTAAAGCTGTCTATTTGGGCCCCCCCCTCATATGGTCTCTAGAAACAGCTCCATACTGTTAGGTGTTCAGTGTGTGTAGCTGTGAGTACTCATGGCTGAGTGGATTCTAGTGTTTGACAACCTCTGAACACAATTACGAACGACGCGTTAAAATGGGTCGAGTCCAAAAGGAGGACACAGAATCAAGATCAGTGGTTCTCGGAATTCCAGAATAATTAATTTTTTAAAAACTGTTTTGGAGAAAAGAAATACTGTTTAAGGGTTACAGGGATGGAAGGATTAGATTTTTAAAATAAAAGGAAAGGAAAAAACAAACCAATCGTTTTATTGACTTTCCTTACAAGATCTTTTAAACTGGTGGATTTTGCATAATTTATATGTAGGTTGTTTTTTTTTTAAATATAAAAGCCATTCCCGTTTTCGAAAATATGTTTCTTCTTTGTGAGTTTTATGTCAAACAAATTCCTTTTGAGTGAATTTTATCTGTTCCAAATTACAACATTCTAGTACAAATTGTTTTTCGAGATATTATTTAGAATAAAAGTTGCACAGTTGTTTTTTTTAATTACCCTGTTCTTAAATTCATAAGGCCTACGTCTGGGGCATATTTGTCGGCGACGATGTTCCCAAATTACGGAAGGTGGGGGGGGGGGC